CTCAAATTTTTCAGAATTGGCATGTTCAGGTCGACGAAACTGTCGTATAACTACAAAATCTAAGCACCATAAACCGCAATATATTCTGGTTTGGGTTTTTATACATAACATTGATAAATAGTAGCACTTGGTTTTCATCAAATGAATTCAGTTTTAGTTACAATTAGATAGATACGAGACTACAGAGGCATTGCGAAGCGAGGCCAAACACACTATCTTTAGCACCTGACGATGATTCTACGGTCTACTGCTTAATCTGATTTTGATCACTTCACATCTCCATCTGACATCAAGTGAAATGCATAGTAATTATAATAACGAAATGTTATTTGATCTTCTACATACGCAAATGTTATTGTGCAATCTAAATTCTCTCTATGAGTTATAAGAACCTCAAGCACTAGTACAAAATTGTCTGTACCACCATTTCATCTGTTTGTGGTTCCCAATATATACAGCAGAGTAATCCAGAAGCAATTCTCAGATCCTTATTTACCCTATCTGGTATTTGTATTTGTTATGTAACTCATGATTCGTATAAAATATGCACCAAAACACTTCCAAATTCTCAGTTCTCTCAACACAGAAAGCCCCTTTGTACATCCCATCAGGCATCAGTGAAGAATTACGAGTGTGGAGCATCAAACCTAGAACCCGAATAACGTACAACTAATTCATTATATCGAACATGAATTTAGGTAAGAGCTTATTTATGACTATACTAAACTATCTAACAAGATATCTAAGAGCTTGTTTTAGGTAAGAGCTTATTTATGTCTAAGATATCTAACAAGATCTGTTAGACCAAGCTGTGATTTATGTACACATAATAATGAAACTGGTTTCATCAAAGATACTGAATAGGGTTTATCATAAACCATTAGTAAACCTAAAACAAGATTCATGTCAAGAATCCCTAGAACCAAGTTAAGCTACAAGAAGACTATCTGTAAAATTGATGAATGCAAATTACAGATAGACCTAAAACCAATAATCAATGCTTCCTCAAGTGTTCTTTAGGCCTAAGCAGGTGATAATCATCGATTACATAACTATGGAGCGAAACAGTCAATTATGCAAACAAACAAAAAACTCTAACCTCAAACTCTAAGGAGCTGCATTTTGTTAGAGAAAGCAATGCCAATCCAATCAGGCTGTGAAGATGACCACTGCAACTGGTTTATCTCAGAGCCAGCCGAGTAAACGGACATCGGATCAATCCCGTTAGGTCCAGCTACAGTTGGAAGCTCCCAAATGAGAGCCTGTGTGTCATRACCACCAGAGCAAATGTGTTTGCAGCTCTGTGGAGCCCAAGCTATAGCATTGACACTAGCCTGGTGCCTTTCGAGCTCGGCAACAGGCATTGTGGGCGATCGAATATCGAGAATCACAACCTTATTGGAATCCATTAGAATCGTAGCCATGTATCTTAGGTCTTGTTTGTTCCAAGCGAGTCTTAAGAGAGGCGTATCGGGTTGAGGACTCTCGTAGATGATTGTTGAATGTTCCTTATCACGTAGATCGAAGATTCTTACCGATCCATCGGCGGAGACGGAAGCGAAAACCCTAGCTTCTCCCCAAGCGATGTCATGAACCTCTTTATCGTGCGCTATGAGCTGAGTTTCCACAACGGACTTCTCGATATCCCAAATCGTGCAGGTCGTGTCGATGCTACAGGTTCCGAGTCGTTTCGGCTCAACATCGTTCCAGTCGAAGGAGGTCAACGGCGCACAGAACTCGCTCGTCTTACTGTTGTTGAGGACGGCGACGGGCTCGACG